TATGATAGGCTTTGCTATACCTACTGGCAGTACAGATTTGTGCTGCAATTCCGTATTTCCTCCTATACCTTAAGTTAAGGGGGAAATATTCCCCCTCCATTGACACATCTTGACCTTTGACCCTTGACCCCCCAAATTCGACATCCCGAGTCCTTTTCGCGATCCCCCCCCCTAAGGCCCGAATATCAAGACCGTACGTCGAGCGGTTAAGATTTGTGCCCAACTGTTGACGGATGCACGGACGGACGGACAATCACGCTATTCTACAAGCTGCATCTGACTTCGTCAGCTGAGCTAACAAAACTGTGCTTTCTGGTTCCATTCAGATAGCACAACTGTTGATAAAATTTACAGTAACAGTAAAAATAACATTATTTTAACTTGCCTTTTATCTCGAGCCCTGTGTAAGTGATTATTGTCAACTTGTGCCCACAGATGGCACTGTCACACTTGTGAACCGAGGCACCAGCTTGTCATTGCTATTACACTATCCTTACTTCCGCTTGTTAAATTATTTATGAAACTTACGTAAAAGAGATTTCTCGTTATCATCTATATTATTCTAATGCAACTACTGCCAATATTAGTACACGTTGGAAATAAGTTGGAGCTACCAAGGGATACTGTCATGCTATGATCACATTTTTTATACCTCATGTCAGCTCTTGTACTCCAACATACTGTATATAAAGATTAACCTTTTCTGAGTGCTGCAGGTGGGGGCCTTTTACTTGTACGACCTGACATATGACCTGACATATATACCTGACATAATATATATACCTGACATATATACCTGACATATGAAGATCAGTGTTGCACCCACTGCCAAGTACGCACCTTGCAATTTCCTGTTTAATATCCTGAAGTGCGTGCCTCTCTGAATCGATCTTCATGTTTTCCTCTCCTGCCAAGTACCTGAAAATTACTTCACATATAATATCAAGGGAATAGATCATATTGCCTGGTAAATAATTCAGCTATAGCAAATATACTGTGCAACTAATAAATATAATGAAGTTCTGTTTACTGGCCAGTAATTCACTTTCTAGACTGATCTAAATATATTATCACAGATGTTGTAATCGTTTCAGATATACAACATTACAATGAAAAAGACACGTCTCACAAAAGTCACAGATATACATGTAATGGTATGAGAGGGTTCATATTAATATATTCATATGAGACATGGGCTCACAGATGAGGTGAGACGGAGGGTCACGAACGAGGCGAGACGCGAGCTCACAGACGAGGCGAGACGCGGGCTCACGGACGAGGTGAGACGTGGGCTCACGAACGAGGCGAGACGCGGGCTCACGGACGAGGTGAGATAGAGGGTCACGGACGAGGTGAGACGGAGGGTCACGGACGAGGCGAGACGCGGGCTCACGGATGAGGCGAGACGCGGGCTCACGGACGAGGCGAGACGCGGGCTCACGGACGAGGCGAGACGCGGGCTCACGGACGAGTCGAGACGCGGGCTCACAGACGAGGTGAGACGTGGAATCAAATGAATTGAGACTCGCAGAATCTGAGACATGAACTCTAGCGAAGTGAGACGTGGGCTCAGAAAAAATGACGATTATATGAAGTGAGATGTGAGCTGAGACATGCTGAGATATTTGAAGCGATATGATGATAGTGACACAAGTTAATATGTAACCTGAGCCAAAGTGAGATACAAAAAAAAAAGAGTCGAGATACACGCCTCACCTGAGGCGTAGACCATCAAGCTCCTCCTGCTGGCGGTCCAGCTCTGCGCGCGCCTGCTGCTGATCGCGGTGGCGAAACCTGGCGAGCTCCTTAAGTGCCTTGCCCCACTGCTGCTTGTAGTGTACCTTCGACTTGGTCACCGACTCCAACCTCTTCTCTATGTCTGCCTGCATGCAGGAGTCCAGTAATAATAATAATAATAATAATAATAATAATATTAATAATAATAATAATAATAATGCTTTCAAGAGTGCAGTAATAATAATAATAATAAAGTCATTCTCCATGTTCGCCTACATGCAGAAGTGCATTTATAATATTTAATAGTAAACAACAATGAAGTAATTATCAATGTCCACCTGCATGTAGGACTTCAGTAATAATAATAATTATAATAATAATTATAATAATAATGATATTAATATTACTAATGGGGTGGCGTAAATAGATACTAACTAGAGAGATAGATTAATGGATTACCAATGAATAATAACCGGATGGCTAATTATTATCCAGTCAGGCATAACACAACTGGGCAGAAAAGCAGGAACATAGCCACTCAGTTATGGGAAAATGGATGTATATAGGTGTATTGTATAGTACATAGAAAGACATCTATTACGACAGCATGTACATGTTACATGATTAACTTATGCACCTTTTCAAGGCTGAGAAGATCTACTTGAGATTGCAGCTGTGTGTGTGGTTTGCTTTTCTCCTCTTCTTTATACAGTAGAAACTGCTCTGCCTTCACCTTGTACCGTCTCTCCCACTCTGCCACCTTAAATTAGTGAATGTCTAATGTAAATAGAGAAATCACTAGCATTGCATCGGACTAAACTAAATAACACTTAACACTGCATTTCTTTAAATTACATCAAGAAACCTTTGTGTTAAATTTTACCCAAGTAGAATCTAGCATGGGTGTGGACATATTTAGGAATAATTACTTTTCAGAATGCACCATCTACAATGTGATATAACAAAGGAAGCGTGATGTTAATATACAAAAAAATGTGCATCATGAAGGACTAGAAGAAAAATGAAAGCAAGAAAAGAGAAAGAGAGTAAAAATATGAGAGAGAGAGAGAGAGAGAGAGAGAGAGAGAGAGAGAGATAGATATCTAAACAGACAAGACAAACAGACAGACAGAGAGACAGACACCAAGACAGATAGATAGAGATAGATAGAGATAAATAGATAAAGAACGGACAGAGGTAGAGAGAAGGAGAGCGAGACCCTGAACAGATCTTACGAATTCACCTTACCTCTTCGCGCAGTCTCTGTTTTTGCATCTCCAACTCCTTCACTTTTGACCGCTCTAGCTCCAGCTGGTGTCTACATTCTTCCTGCACCTGCCGTAGCTGGGTGAGTGACTTATCTACCTGTGTGTTCTTATCTCGTTCACACTCCTCCTGTAGTCTCGACAGCTGTGGATGAGAACCCGTGAACAAAGCTTTATCATCTTATGCACAGCACGTAAACTATACAGTGGGGACTGATTTTCTGAGGTATGTAGTAATTGTGTTGCATGCAGTGATGTATAGTGCACATACCAATCAGTTTTTTACCAATAATATACTGCCTCTATAGTATATACGTTTACAGTCAAATCTGTGTTAGCAGGTCACCTTCACAGAATGGACATCTGTCTAATAAGGACACTTGGCGTTTCCCCTGAATAGCAGTGTGAAACCACCTCTATATAATAGACACCTGTCCATAAAAGACTTGTTGGATGTTTCCCATGAATTGCAATTATACAGCATAACTACCTCTATAAAACAGACACATGTAAAGGACATCTATAAAGGAGCATATTGAAATATCCCTGTACCCTTACATACGTGTTTGACTTTAGTGTATTATATACATTCAATGTATGATATTTTATTCCTAGACTTCCAAACGTTAATGTTGTTAGGCCGACTCTGTAGTATATATACGTATAGTAAATAGATGCACTATACTACACAGACAGTGAGCATACAGGACGGATGTTGACTGCACATCCTCTCACACTGACAAACCTGGAAGCGCACGCATCTATAAATTCCCATTCGTCATCATATAAGCTGTCAGTTACAACGGATTTCCTTTATGCGTATGAATTACTTCATATCATTGTGTAAGCCATCACATAAATGGTATTAATATGCTCGTGCTTATTGCTGTTTATACGCGACCACTCACACTAGAAGTAGATCGAAGAGGTTAGGATCCCCTTCCCCACTCGCACTGCAACTGCAGGTTTTATTTTTTATACTATGTGAAACATTTCACTAAGCTGAAATAAAATAACTTGCTAAAAAATATACACAAAAAAATTCATCGGGTTTCTACTCTATTTAATACTGTATGAATACTGTACGGCTACTGTATGAATACTGTACGGCTACTGTATGAATACTGTATTTAATACTGTCTGTAATTCTCTGAACAAGTGCCACAGAGCGACAGTGCTCATCTGACTGTCTGTGCCAGTGCTAAATCAAGAGAAAGGGGATGCTGGAATATGTCTTTGTATAATTTCACGTCTCAACCATACTAGTTCCGCAGACTAAGAGTTCTGACGTGATAGAAGAATGAAAGTGGGAGAGTGAGAGAGACAGAGGGGGAGAGAGAGAAGAAGGTGATAGGAGAAGGAGAGGAAGGTGGTAGGGGAAGGAAGAAAGGAAGGTGGTGGGGAAGGAAGAGAAGAAGGTGGTAAGGAATGAAGAGAGAAAGGTGGTGGGGAAGGAAGAGAGGAAGGTGGTGGGGAAGGAAGAGAGGAAGGTGGTAAGGAATGAAGAGAGGAAGGTGGTGGGGAAGGAAGAGAGGAAAGTGGTGGGGAAGGAAGAGAGGAAGGTGGTAAAAAATGAAGAGAGGAAGGTGGTAAGGAATGAAGAGGAAGGTGGTAGGGGAAGGAAGAGAGGAAGGTGGCAAAGAATGAAGAAAGGAAGGTGGTAAGGAATGAAGAGAGGAAGGTGGTAAGGAATGATGAGAGGAAGGTGGTGGGGAAGGAAGAGAGGAAGGTGGTGGGGAAGGAAGAGAGGAAGGTGGTGGGGAAGGAAGAGAGAAAGGCGGTGGGGAAGGAAGAGAGGAAGGTGGTGGGGAAGGAAGAGGAGAGAGATAGAGAGAATAGGTGGAGGGCTTATTAGGAGTACTCCTATAGATATCCTACACAATCATGCGTTTGTAAGTCAGTGATTGTCCCGTCTTGTATTCGGTATTTGATTGGACAAATCTTAAACTACTCCACCAATTAGCAATTGTTTACTAGTCAGAATGATTACTGCAAGACATTACATCCATTGTTATGCATTAATAATGGCGGTGTAATAATGGCGGTGTAATGATGTAGTAAGATATTTTTATAGTGAGTAATGTGTTGCACATATCAACTGCCATGCAAACACAGCTGGTACGAATTTATGCGTGTTTTGTTTACGGTAGTAAAACGGTGTGGTAAAACAGGACACAGGGTGGTTGGTATCTAGCTGTCTGGTGCATGAGACTACAGTACAGCATATGATTTGAGCATAGCATATGAGGCACAGAACGCATCTCATATAAATGATTAAACCTTGTTGAACTTTATCTTGAGCCTGTTTCCACTAAGAAATTTAACTAGGAAATTGTAGCCTTACACATATGCACAGGCACATAGGCTCCATTAGCAAAAGCATTTCATTATTTTGCTACCAGTAAACACACTGGTGTTCAACCCTCCTCTAGAGGGTGAAAAGGTCACCGGACGACTACTCTTCGCACATCAGTGGAAAATGCATATCATGGTCATTTCAATATAGCCATCAAAACGGTAGGCTCACCACTAAAACAAGAAAGTTTTTTAATCGGTCCGTCAGACCATGTCCTCAGAGAATATTTATCTTTTGCCCTACTACCCTTTTCAAATTTTGCGGCGGTTATGGGTATTCTCACTCTGACGCTATATACGCTATACGCAATATCGAGAGCATCCATTATCGAGAGCATTCCATCATAGAAGGAAACATCTTGTTAAGCTGTTTACATTGTTGCCGCAATTCCGCATTTCCTGCTATACTATAAGTTAAGGGGGAACATCGTCCCTTCCTTGCCTCCTTCTAACCTTTATCCCTTGACTCGCTGATTCGACATCCCAATGTCTTTTCGGATTGCCCCACTAAGCTCTGAATATCAATACCGTACGTCAAGCCGTTTAGATTTGTGCCTATATTATTGAAGGCGAGACGGATGCTCATGCCATTCTACAAGCTGCATCTGACCAAGTCGGTTAAAAAATGTGTGAAGTGGTACCCTCACCCACTATACACTACTTTTACATTCACCAGACCCTCGCCCTTCCGAATTCCTAGACCTTCCCTCACACCCCTGTTTATCTTACGTGGCTCTTTATTTCTTCATTCCTTTTAACGTATAGAGTCAAACTGCAATATAAAGGGAATGACAAGTGCATTCTGCAAACAGTTGTTTGTTCGACAGAGGTTACCACTAATGTAGGTTTGACTGTGCATACCTGTTGTTCTCGTGCAGCTATCTGCTTCTCCTTTCGGCCCATCTCGGCGATGATTGCTCGTAGCTTCCTCTCCATGTCACTGTACTCCGCAACCTTCTTCTGCAGCAGAAGCTCTCGCTCCTCCTCCCTCTTCTTCCATTCAGACGTCAGTGTCTGAAGGAGTGTAGACTCCCGCTGCTGCAACTGTTAGTAAAACATAATCTAATCTTATAATTACACTGGCAGGCGTCCTGTATTACACCAACCCAGAAACCAGCAGGCCAGAGTAACTTGTGACCTAATAATATTATATGCAGGTTGCAATAAGCAGTAGCTCTAGTTCTCATATCCCAACATGCGCCGCACTCATCAGATGGATGTGAACGTTACAGAGCGGTTTTCTGCGTTCCAGCTGGATTGGATTTTCTTTTCATTGGTGTCAGCCGAGCATTTCAGCATGTCACCTCCATCCCAGACCTAACACTCCATACATCACAGAAATAACTACAACTTGTTATTCGGGTGTTACATGTAAAACCTACGTCGTGCTGAAAGAGTCTTTCCTGCGCCTCTTTCCACAGCTCTAGCTCGAGGGCAGCTTGATACTCAGAGGAGGCGCGTGGACCTGGGGCGAGGGTTGCTGCTGAGGGACGCGGCTGTGGTGGCGGCAGCGGCTTGGCTGGCTCACTCGCCGCTACCGGCTGCTCACTTGTCTCAGGTTGCTGCTTGGCCTCCTGATGCTTCTTCTACATATATACATATATATATATATATATATATATATCAAGAGCTAATAAATACCTAGAGTGTACAACAGGAAGACGGGAAAATAGTGCTATTTCACGGCAATATTATTCTACTTTGTATGCGGTTCTAGACTAAGTTCATGGTATTGCATTAAGCAGCATTCTTTGCCCTCTAAAATAATACCAAACGCTTATCTCTACGATACTCCTAGGCCGAGATATTGGAGCGTAATCATGCCTCCCACAGGCCTCACGCCGCCTCGCATCCACAATATTCACTATCCTTCTCGCCTTTTGCGGGTCTGGCTATCGTTTTCCGTCGCCGCTTGGAGCGCTGATAATGGATGTCACATGCCCAAATTTGGTACTCTTACTACACCATATAATAACTGAGCTGCGTTTTAGAGACTTAATTTAGAAAACATTGCCGGCTCCATCATGACGGGCATTAAAGCTGGGTTTACACTGACGATTTTGTGTTGCCAAATTGCCAAATTGTACGAACTTGGCCAGTTGGCAACTGACAATCGGGAGTGTAAACGCAAAAGTTGGACGACCAACCGATCGGGCGCAGCGAGTTGGGAAATTAGAACATGTTCTAATTTCGCCAACTCGAAGCAGTCGAGTCAGACGTTTTTTTGCCAAGTGGCCCATCAGAGAACAGCAATCAAGAGGTGTGTGCCTCCACCCTAGGGGGAGAGCACGTTTTTGCTATCGGCACCACGCTGGCGGCGTGGAATACATGCAAAAATTCGTATCGGCGTCGCCCCGCGCATACCTACGGGTCAAATGTTGAAACGTTTGCCGCCCCGCGCCGTGGCGATAGCGCTTTGAATATTTATAGAGAAGTTGGTAGAAAGAAGAAAAACGCCAAGTCGCCTGCATAAAATCGGCCTAAAATCGTCAGTGTAAACCCAGCTTTAGCCATGCTAGGAAAGATAATGGGATATAAGGGCATAGGCTAGGCGATGCCCCCGAAAGTTACCGATGATAACTGAAACGCCGTTCATTCATAGTTATCGCGGAAAAAACCAAACTCTCACGAAGCGACTTTCCTAACACGCAAAAGGCGAGAAGAATAGTAAATATTGTGGATGCGAGGCGGCGTGAGGCCTGTGAGAGGCATGATTATGCTCCAATATCTCGGCCTAGGAGTATCGAAGAGACAAGCGGTTGGTCTTATTTTAGAGAGCAAAGAATGCTGCTTAACGCAATACCATGCACTTAGTCTAGAACCGCATACAAAGTAGAATAATATTGCCGTGAAATAGCACTATTTTCCCGTTTTCCCATTGTACACTCTAGGTATTTATTAGCTCTTGATATATATATATATATATGTATGTATATACGCACGCACCGTCACAGTCGCACACACATGCAAGTACAGACAGCATTACACGTAATGACATTCACTGCTACATTTCCTGTCTCTGTTCGCCCCCACCCGCCGTGTTCGACACTACATGCTCCTCACCCTTATCTCCTGCATCTGTCCAGTGGCTAGCTGGCCAAAGTCCTCCAATGTTACATGTGTGTCGAGGTCAGCCAGCTGCCTGCCAGGACTGGCAGTGCTCTGAATGGGAACGATGACATCCATAGACTGCTGGGAGCTCTCCTTGCCTCCGGCTACCTGCGATATCAAGCGATGCGCTCATCATTCGAGAGTTGAAGAAAACGTGTGCTCAGCAGCAACGTGCAGGCAGCATTAGCAGAACAAAGCAAACAGAGTGTCAGCTCTGCTGTTTTACTTTGCAACAAGAATATCCTCACACCATAAAATGTAATTTAGGCCTTGCTATGGCTGATTTGCTCCCTTAAGGCAGATTCTGAATGCTACTACACCTATTCATCCACAAACCAAGCTTAATAACTTCTATAACTGACACAGAATTTAGAACAACAATTTGGTTGGACTGCATACCCGAGTCTGCTTGCAGGCTTGTTGAAGCACATTGCCTAGAGGTAGCATGCCATGCGCCAATAACGTGTCCTTGTGTTGCTGGTCCCTACTCCATAGCTCAAGTATAACGGGGGAGCTGCAAGAGAAATACCTTAGTGATCATGTTAGACACCACTGGCAAGCAAACATACATCACAGGAACAACACATAAGATAGAAAAGAAAACACATGCATCAAAGCCACGACAGACAAGATAGGCCAGGGAAATACACACATCAAAGACACAACACACAAGGCAGGCTAGAAATTGCGCACGTCTAAATATACAACAGCCATAATAGCAAATCACAGATTCACAGACACAACCTTCGACCTCTAGTAGCAGCAGAGCAAACAGATGGCAGTCCATATTCTATATGAGTGGCTTTCGATATTATTATTAGAAGGAACCTACCCATGCAAACTCCGTTGAAGATGCTGTGGTGACGTCGCAAAGTCAAATGCACAAAAGGAGTTTGGCAGTTTAATGCTGGCACCCGGTCTTATTTCGATGGTGGGATGTGTCATGACTGGTGCTGCCCCACCAAAGAATGGGTACTGATACCTATAGAAAGATGGTGACGTAAAACTTAACACCGACTTGCTTAACTGCTCAATCGTTGTAAAACACAGGGACTTAAAACAGTTAACACAGCGTCATTATTTCATATATGTCGTCATGACTTTGATGATGCCTAGCCAAAGAATGACTGCTGATACCTACAGAAATTAACTCACTATGGAAAACTATCGGAGCCTTAACACAGTCAATACAGCATGATGAGCATCCTTATATTTTGGCAATGTTATCTGCTCTACCAGATGTAACACTGCTCCCTTGATGATTAACATAAGGACTGTGACTCCCTATAATGATTAAAATATTTCATACACATTCGAAACTGTATATGAGGGTCACTTAAGAAGCATGCAATTATACTGTCCTTTACAGATATCCACTTTGTAGAGGTGGTCTCACTGTACAACTGCCCCTCAAGGGAAATGCCAAAGGTGCCTTTCATAAACAGGTGTCCCCTATAGTGTTGTCTGCTAACACAGGTTTGACTGTGTGTTGTCAGCTCCGCGACATTTATGTTTGTGTGACATGTGTGTCGGTCACGCACTCGTACCGGATGTAACACTGCTCCCTCGACGACATGCCCGCTGCACGCAGCTCCCTCAGGTCGATGCAGCAGCGGAAATGGTGCTGCATGGGAGGGGCGACCTCGTGTGTGCTTGTCGTGCTCAGACTCGTCGCCGGTGCACCACTAGATGTCGCCGGTGCACCATTAAATGTCGCCGGTGCACCACTAGATGTCGCTGGTGCACCATTAAATGTCGCCGGTACACCACTAGATGTCGCCGGTGCACCACTAGATGTCGCCGGCGCACCACTAGATGTCGCCTGCGCGTGATACTGACCCTCGCGCGGTCCTGGTGCCGCCACGGGCCGAGTCTCCAATGTCGCCTCCAACCAGGCTTCATCTGATTATATAAAACAAGTGCATTGGATAACTGACCTATCTCTGTGCACATTATAACTAGAGATTCCATGGGTATCATTAGAAGCTGGCACACCGCAAATTCAGCCACACACTTCGGCTTGTGCGTCGTGTGTTTTGTGGAACGACCACGCTGCGAGATTAACGAGCCGGCGGCGTTTGTCTTTCCTGATACTTTAAATGATAACTCTCGTACTATCAAAATAATGATATTTAGTGAAAATCCTACACGCCCAACTTATATACGGTTGCTAGGTCAGTCATGCTAGACCCATTGATGCCTTTTCCTCGCATTGTCGCACTTCACTGACGAGCATTGTTTATTAGATTGTTATACAATTAAATTAAATAGAGAGATAGGTCAATTGAGACAAGTGTTTGGATTGATATAATTGGAATAGGAGACCTAGACAGGTACGACAAAATACAGTTCCACCGGGTTTGTTTCTAGAGCCTAGGCAATAATAGAGAACATCATCTACGCAATGAATAGTTAGAAATTAACGACTAGTGCCAGCCAGGAAAAAAAAATGTTTTTTTCGAGATCGCTTTTTTCTAGGCGTCCAAAATGTTCGGGAGCTCCTTTTTTCATTTCCGAGGGCTAGTTTTGACATTTCGAGGGCTACTTTTTAATAATCCAATTTATGTAATTATTGGCTTCCCAATGCCTTATCGTTCTCAAGTTTCTGCTGGAACCATCAGAAATTTTACGGGGGCGACTCTTTTTATAATACGGACGAAAAAATTACCCTCGGCAACGATATTTCGGGGGCGATTTCGAACCTAATAAGGGCGAATTCGCCCGTCGCCCTCGTGTATTTTATTCACTAACTAGCGCTGACTTGTTAGTCTCGATTTATATTGGTCGTAATTTATGTCACTTTTGACTGACATTATCTTCAATGCCTGCTCCTAACTTCTGAATATTTTCTGAAATACGTAGATGGCGAATGATTCACATTGCAACCATGTAAAGTCATTCAAGAGAACCAGAGTGGCTCGAGCCCAGCCATACACTGTTTGTGACAAATGTGTTGAGTTGTTACCTTTCCTGTACTTCGTCGTTGCTACGGCTTCCCTGCCTGGCTCGTGATAGCTAGCAATACTGCTCACTTCACTATCCGTATGACTTCCTCTCCCACGCTTCTTCTTCACCGGCTGAAAACCACAAGAATATACAATGTTATAGTCTCTGACCCACTATATTATCAATGCAGGGAAGTGTATGCGCAGTTACGTCATATCACAAATGAACGCATGATGGATCATACTTGATAAAAAGAATTGTTTCTAGCTTTTGTTTGGTGGTAATAATTGACTTGTATTTGGTTCCACTAAACAAAAGTACATCACATTTGTGTGACGTAGACTGGTACAGTGTCTCTATTTCTTTACGCAAGTTACCATTAACAACGTCAGGAAGAGGGTGCCACGTAAACAAGTGGCATCATCATGTAACTACATCAACAACAAAATGTCAACAAATAAAATTTCAACCATTGCATATTTTGGTGAAAGTAGCAATGTACGAGTGTTCTCAGACACATAAGCCTTACTGCAAACACTTGCTGTTGCGCAAGCAATACCAGTAATTAAGTACTGTAAAGGTTAGAAAAATAAGAGAGAGGTCAAGAATACTATTTAATGTCCTGATTTTAAAATCATTTTTCCATCAGGACAATTAACTCAAATTTTACTAATCTCACTACCTGCTGAGTGGCTGGCAGCACTGTATGACCATCTCTATGGCTTGAGCCATCCCTCACTGGTGGAGTGTGGGGTACACGGATGGTTTCGCTCGGATGACACGGTGAAGCAAGAGTGCTGTCCTGCTTATTCTATCCACACAGTTATCAAAAACAGTTATCACAAACAGTTATCAAATAGTGGTATAGACAAAACCTGCTCCTTCTCAAACATTTAACACATAGCTCCTTTGTATATACTGCAGAAAACAAATGCTGTTGTCAAGTTTCACTAAACATTAATTAACTACTGCTATGATCTTGTGTGGACAACTGTGGGAATCAACTACCATTACAAACTCCAACCAAAAAACTCAAGTGCTAAACAGTTGTTATAAGCTCCACTTACAGCATCTTTGCGAAGCACAATTGCCATTCCCAAGCATGGTGCATGGTCATCTGGAAGGTCAGGTAACTTCTCCTGTATGTGCCCGGGTGCTTTAAGCTACCATGAATAAACATGTGACACCAAGTTACACATCTGACCAACACCTGATTCATCTATATGCCCGGAACAACTTACAGGTAGGTCTAAAAAACCAGCATTGCGATCGGGGCATTTAAAAAACGCTTATTGGCAACAAAGTGCCACAAATTCGATATTGTAGCGGGCAGTTGTGAGAAAGCATAACCAGGTCTAGCTTGACTGACCTAGCAACAATATCCAAGGTGTATGGTTGGTTACCTGACTGAAATGAATAAGTAATAGGTTGGGACATCATCATGCACCCTCACCTGAAACAAGCCTTCGAGGACATAAGGCTGTGAGTAGGTCTCCTCATGCTCAGGGATCAGACTCCTCATCGACACCTCGGCATACCCGAGAGAGTGATCGTCACTGCACAGGTGTATCTGCAACACAAAAAATACTCACTAGAAATAGCTCTGTGAAGTGATGTTTACGCTGACATAAACGGATACATTACTCTAGGTTCTTTGGATGTTTTCAGTTAAAATAGGTTAAAATTACGCTACATAAAAAGTTTCATGACACAATATTCATTAGAAATGTTTTATTTTTGGTTTTAAAACTGACTATACCATTGCTAACAACGACGGTGGCGCCACTGGAAGCGCATCCACTGAAAAAGTTGAGCAAAGCAAAGTTTCGGCTGCAGGCTACAGACCGAGGGTGTTTCTTATTTATTAATTCAAGAGAAGAAGCATTGCAATACCTTATAAACGACAATTAGTTTCAGTTATAATATGGACGAATTCGACCTAAAATAAAAATCGTTCGGTTAAATAGCAGTTAGGTATAAATATAATTGCACTTTTGTGATTAGCCATCGGTCTGTAATGTGCAAAATAAATTGGCAAATGCACAAATTTTTCAGGGTGGCAGCACAATCGTGCGGTGTCATGTCAGCATTCAAAACAAAAGATTTCGAAATTCACTGTTGTTTTATGACAAACGTGAATGTGATTATAGAAATTTGTAGGTATATGCTATTATTTATGCACTTACTATCATAATATACTTCAAAATTCTAGGGGAAAGTAAGTATTCTTTAACTAGACTGCGACACATGTGCACTGCGAGGACTAGGTACAGAGCCATCTACGTCCAGCGGTGGTTGACATTTCAAGAACGGCAAAAACGACGTCAGACTGCTGTGCATGACTGAGAACAGCGCCACCTACTGCACTGAGGACAACAGAAGAGAGTGCCATCTACCTGCAGTGGGGTTCCATTATGCAGGAACGCAGCTAGAGTAGCCAGATTGCTGCTGACACGCACGGAGCTTCTCTCGGCAGGGAAGGTGGGATCGAGGAGGTCCGCAAATGCATCGCTCATCACATTGTTGCCCAGCAGGGTGTAGTAGAAGAAGAAACCACCCTTGTTCGGCAGACGATATGTCGATGGCACTAACTGCAGAAGATCGTGGCACGATGAGCACATTGCTTGCAGATAATAACTCGAGGCTGGCGTGAGACCAAGCCTCTGATAAAGTGGCCACGTAATACAAGACTGATTCTTAAAGCTAGTACAGACAGACAGATGAGGTGCTTTATTTCTTACCATCACATACATGCACAGCAAGTAAAATAGCTTACAACAAACGAGAGGTGAATCTGATTTCTGTGAATACAATTTATATAACTAATAATGGTTTGGTAGATTTTTTTAATTGCCAATTAAGAAAATCTACTAAGCCATCATTAGTGTTTACAAAGAGATGATAGCTTTAGTCCTATAGTAACCATCTTGATGCATAAAGAACCAAATATCATTGTAACTAAAACAAAGTTTCATATAAATCACCACAGTTGATTAAAATGCAATTTTGCAGGTTTTGTTACTGTGTGAGAGGTAGCATCAATGTGAATTAATGAACTGGCATACCTGGGCGAGATTGGCAGCAAATGCAATTGTCACAGACAACGTGAATAGTTCGTTGTCTGACTGCTCAGGGCCGAGCTGATAAAACCCATCAGCCTCCCTCAATACTGGCAGGAGCTGAGCTGGAGATTTCTGACTTCCAACACCTTTACCACCTGCTCAATCGTGCGAAATTACTTAGTAAGACTTAACATACATACAGCATACAAAATAAGATAACAATAAATAACAAGCATCCTAATTCCCATTTCTAAACACGTAACACTAGGATAAATATCAAATTACAATGCGACAGGTTTTCAGTGAGAAATATCAAAAAGCAACTGGTTTAGTAACACAATGCAGTCTTGCTGAGTTGGAACCACACACAAAGAAGGCACAGCAAGTATTCTTATTCTGATTACAGTTTTTGTGCAATACATTTTATTCTGGATTGTACTTGTTGGTATATCTGTGATGATGTGATGATATATACTCTTTCCTTGTATGTAATTGCTGGTCAAGAGTTCCTCGTTTTTCTGGCTTTCTGGCATTTCACCTTTTTAACTAGCTTAATTTGTTTTTTTCTAGATACATGTCCACGCATTTAATTAGAAATTCTCTACGTATGCAATATAGCATATTATTATATGCATGTATTAGAAATATACAAACGCACCTAGGCTGTTTCTAAAGCTGGTCCATCCTTCAGCACCACGGGTGTTCTTCACTTGTGTGTTGTGAGTAGGAGTTTTGCCCTGAGGAACTAATGTGTCGTCTTCCACAGTAACAGCCACCAGTAGAGCCGGTTTTTTATTTCTATACTTGCCGTTTAACAACTGATGCCATTTTGGAACCTGATAAAGAAGAATTGGCGACTGTTAACATTTTTCTTCTGTCCACCAATACATGAAGACATATGATAAGAGATTCTAAGAAAATATGCAAGGTAAAACCATTTAAATTAGAAAGATAACAAGTTCTAAATGAAAGTGTCAATGACACTGTAGCTCACCACAAATAACGTTTTTATAATATTCAGATTTATGAACTGCCTATAAAAGCGGAGCTCCTGATGTGTAACGTGTAAGATGGATTGAGAGATACGCTTATTCCACGTAGCTGCTATGTACATGCAGCGTGACAATAGTGTTTCCCTGCCATAACACAACTTTTGTCAAAGGTTATTGGTTGCATGGAAGCGTTTACTTCGTATGAGTTTTTCTAGGCGGTAGCACACGGTTGCCATCTGTATATCGCAATAATAATTTATAAACCAAAATGAATCACAATTTGCGTGACGGTAATGGCCGCTATACCCGCTTTGTAGCAATGGCATTTGAAATAAATAGATTATGCTGACGTTCCGACATGTTTTGTAAAACTTTACTCTAATATAGACATTTTATCGGCAGGCTGGAGAGGAAATACCAATATTGCATTAAAGATATTGTCAATGAAATCTTGTAAAACGAACAAGACGAGTGTGACACCACAGACTGTTTGTTATCTGCGTTTTTTGCATAAATTGCATAAACCTACCTAATTTGCATAATTTTTTTTTTTAAATATCAAAACCCTAGCCCTTATTCATTCAAATACCAAAAATGAGCAAAATCCGTTCAACCTGAACTGACTAATGGCAATTTCCATTTTTCCCAAAAATCGCCGTGGCTCGAAAGTACGCCGACTGGCGTGCTCCAAATAGGACGTTCCATATGGGAGCATAGCAGTAACAACTCACCCAATTCAAACATGTGGGTCAACGGTTCCTGAGTTATCGTTGACCGAAACAAATGTTGAACGCCGGACGGACGTACGACGGACGACGACCCATGGCAATAGCTCAGCTTGACGATGTCAAGGTGAGCTAAAAACGAGTGTTTAAATAAGTTTGAACTTTTGAATTAGATACTGAGTAAGCCACGAACCAATTACACCAGGGAAACTAATTTCCATTATAATTACGATAACTAGTTGAACTAGTTAACGTAACTCTAATGTAATTGAGTTTTCTTTGTAATGTGATTGCTCCGCAATACAAGACTAGTTCAGCTAGGTTTACACTATCAACTTTCCGTTGAAAAATTGATCAACTTTTCAACTAATCAACGAAAGCCGCAATGTAAATTTGAGCGCTCAACTAATTGAAAGATTAGAACATGAGAGATGTTCTATTTTCTCAACTTTTGGTCAGCAAGTTGACTAACTTTTTGCCATTCAGCCACTCAGATAATAACAATCAGGAGGTATATGTCCCTCCACCAAAGAGGAGATTATTTGCACATGCGTTTTTGCTATCAGCGTCACACGGGCTATGCCTGGTGCGAATGCAATGAAAGTGTCAATGACACTGTAGCTCACCACAAAACAGGACACAAATGAGTGAGTGAGAAGAAGTCAGTTTTAATTGAGCAACCATCGACGTACATTATAGAAACGAAGAGTATATATGGGAGAACT